CTGCCATTTGCTTGGGGTAAATGGGCCGTTAGAGGATGCAGAAGAACTGCCACAAAGCCACCAGTGCTAAGATTCTTCCACCCATCTCTCAGACTTCTCCAGCAGGTTGCACGGTGCCTGCAGCCCTGGCCAAGTCCTTCATACTTGGCCAAGTCCCAAGGAACCCCATGAAGTCTTGGACGGCCAGAATTCAGGAAGCTGCAGCACCTTCTGGTTTTGGAACAGATGCTCCCAACACAGTGGATATTGTCAGATACATTTCAAATTTGCTGATTTCTGTATTGGGGGTGCGACACTTGTGCTTATCTGGTTAAAAGATGAACTGGGGAGATATCCAAAGGCAGGGGCAGTTCAAAACCCAAGCCCCCTCAGAGTAAGCGAGAACCAACATCTAAGTTCCAACTATTCCTTTGAACATCTTGCCACCCCAAAACCGGAGTTTATTCTTGCATCCAAAGCACAACCGTGACTTGAAAGGAAAGTGCTCCGTGTACCGTGGTTGCATTTGTAGTATCCTATCAGGAGGATCCATCAAAATAGTTCATGCCAAAAACACTACTACAGGCTCCAGCCTGTTAGGGCAGAAAGGCTCCTCTGTCCTCCCAACGTGAATGAACAACACATACCGGGCAGAGAGGAGAATCACTGATTTTGCTGACTGCAGGTTTGTATTCTGTTACTTAACAACACCTCTGACCATTAAAAAGGGGACAGAAACATCTCCCATGGCTTCATACAAGGCTCCACCCATAGCTATAAGAGAGAATCATTCTTACACCATTTTGGGAATGCTGGGTACCAAACTGCTCCCATGCGGACATTGGATGAAAGTTCAGTTTGTTCCTTCACAGCAGCAGCTTTCACACAAACTCCTCAACTTTTGAGCAGCATACCAACACTAACCTAATGCCTGTAGGACAGTCACATTTTTTGGAGAGCTTAAAATTAATCCCAAATATCCACTCATTTCATCTCTCTTGCATTTTCCATTCATTTCGCAAATAAGTGGTGAGTATTTTCTGATGAAGGAGGTCTAGATAATAGACATCTCTAAAAATGTATGCTTCCATTGTATCGTATTTCCCACCCAGATCCATGAATAGCTACTTGAAAAAGCAATAAAATAAACATTCACATCTGCTTATTTAATAGCGTTATTAACAACCCAGTGCATTTATATTTTTTCCAGAACCCTTGAACAAGTGCCATTAGATTTAAAATCTTAAACATTCTTTAAAAGTACTTTAATTCACAGAAATCTTTGTTTCTAATATACAGTATTACTTTACTTTTTAAAATCCATTCTCTTTTCATATAATCTCGGTACTATACAATAACTTTCTATCTATAGCGTCTTCATGTTTTCCAGTCCAGCTTGCCTGTGCTTTAAATATAAAACTCTGACTATACAATAACTTTCTATCTATAGCGTCTTCATGTTTTCCAGTCCAGCTTGCCTGTGCTTTAGGAATATAAAACAAAAAAATAATAAAGTTCTATCCACAATTTTACTAAGGTCATTTCCATAGTTCTCATGTAAAGCTTCTCTTGGAAAGTGCAGTATACACATGTAATGATACAACACACTTAAGCAATACTTTTATTATTAAGTGTAGGTTTTAAAAGAAGAGTAATGTAGAGCAGACACAATCGATGGTACTTCTATTTACAGAATTTGTTAAACTAAGTGTTGGGGCGGGGGAATAGCGGAGAGACTGGAGATAGGAAAGGAGTAGTCACGAACTTTGATTTCTTTCCTTCTTAGCGAGAGGTCAGTACATACATATTTCAGTCGTTCATACTTTCGCACATGGGAAACTGCACTTTTACTAATACAGCTACATACACATACACAAGGTTAGCAGTAAGCTAGTAATTATTCCACTACAGAGGAAGAGTCCTTCTGTTCAGAAAGAGCTTTCAAATACAAGATAGAAATTCCGGACTTCATGACCATAAGCCAATGAAAACAAGTTTAGCGTATCCAGCTAGTTGACAAACTAAGCATGTGAAGGGAAAAAGAAAAAGGTAAAACCCATCAAGTTGTAGCAGCACTTATTTCAAACCATCTGAACCAAGTGCATGCTTGTTCCACAAAGACTGTAGAGTGGAATAAAGTCCACAGTAATCTTTGTCTACTGAAACAAATGGTTCCGTACTTAACTGGTTTGCACTATATGCAGTTACAAGAGAAAACGGGGAACCCAGAACAGATACCAGATGCTTGACTAAAACCAGGATTAAAAATAGACAAACAACCGTAGGACAATTTGTTTCATACACAATTTACAGTAGGTTGGGGGGATTTTCTTTTTTTTCCATTCAAACACAGAAAAGAAGTCACAGAAAATACATCTGCTGCTGCCACAATGCCCTTTTCATCCAAAAAAGGTCAACAAAATGCTAGTCACAGCCATACTCACATGTATTTCGTTCAAAACCTTGTTATATTTCACTTAGGGTCATTTTTGCAGCTTTAACAATCTGTTTTGTTTTTTTCTTTTCTTTTTTTCTTTTTTCTTTTTTTTTTCCCCTCCCCCAAGGAAGCGCAGTTCATTCACAAGCAGGATTGTTAAACAGCAAACCATTAGCTGGGGGCAGTCCGGAAAACTCTCTTCATATGCACCATCACCAGAGGTACTAGGCAAGACTACTTCAGAGGAATTCGGTGCTTCCTCCTCCTCTGAAGCATATACTGGCAATTTAGAAACATCAGCTCTCCTAACCTGTCTTCTGCAGGAGAGGGGCGTCCCTACAGATTTCACCTGTCCCCTTCCTCCTGCCCATTCATCAGAAAACAGGAACAAAACAAAAACCAAACCCAAAAACACAAACGCAAAGATTGAAACACAGTTGTTCACACGCTAGTCTAAGGAGAAAGGAGTCTGTTGTACGCAGGGATCATACATCAGCTACGATTATCTAATCCATTTACAGTTAGGCTTTCCATGGTGCTATGTGTACATCTCAGCAGGGCGGCTAAGGACGGTGCTCCCTTTAGACATAGGCTAGCAAAGACAGGTGCAGAAGGAACCACAACGGGTTTTTACCAGCTTTAGAGAGGACTACCTGGAGAACTGAGACAGAATCTTTCCCAGGGCATGGGAAGACAGGGAGAAAGGTGGGTGACTGTCTCCTGTTGGCAGATTTCTTTTTCTTTTAATTAAGGAGGGGGAAAAAAAAAAGCCCAAAATAACCACAACTGAAGGTAACTCTTCTGGAAATGAAAACAGAGGATTAGGTACGTTACAGAAACTGCGTCTGCTACTGTGTCACTGCTACAGGTCTATGAGCTGATCCACCAGCAGTAAAGACCTGGCTATGTTGGGAAGACTGGACTCAGAGCTTCCACTGTTGTTTCTAGAATGCCCACCTGAAAGTGTGAGAGATAGGAATTCAGTATTGAACAGGACACACACACACGACAGTTTCAGATGTTCAAGAGCAAGCAAGCAAGCAAAAAGTCAAAGCAAAACAGAAAATTTGCTCAAGCTCTTCCCATTACTTGCATCACGATAGCAACAACATTCCCCTGCTTGCTCTTCCACCCTCTCCCCACCCCCCAAACCTAGCTCGCTAGGCTTGCATGGAAAAACATCACAGCAGCCAACAAATCTCTACAAACCATTTCTTTTTCCCAGGCTTTACATCCGAGCTGCAGAATTCTGTCCTTACTAAAGGATCTATAAAACAATTACAAAAACTCCCACACCTATAGAAATGACTGTTCAAAGTTTTAAATCTTGAAAATTAGTTGCTGTTTTAAGAGCATCTTTGAGTTGCCAGCTACTTCAAGGAGAGTTGAGCTATCGTGTGGCTTTATTATTGGTGCTTTGATACTGAAGGAAAGATGCTCCTCTCTATTCAAGGTAGCCTATCTTGGCCCAACTTTGGTAGAAATCTTCTCTGACTTTCAGCAGGAGCAGAGTTTCTAGTGTCTGAGAACTTTTTCTAATGAGTGTCAGTCTTTGAAAGCTAGCATTAGATGCAGAGCAGGTGTACAGCACATTCCTGCTATAAACAAAAATGGGAGTTAAGGAAGTCAAAAAACTTCTACCATCAAACTACAAAAATGGGAGTTAAGGAAGTCAAAAAAGTTCTACCATCAAACTAAAAAAAAAACCAAACCCAACAAAACAAAACCAAAAAAAGGGGAGCCCTGGAGTATGTTTTTAAACCTATGCTAGCATATTGAAAGCTGTAATCAAAACCTTTCAATGGCGTGACTGCAGAGAGAAGACCTATTTGACTGACCAGACTGCAAAACGCTGCCTACTTCTGTCCCTACAGGAGCTACAAATTGCAGCACTATTATTTCTTTTAAGGAAACAGTGCTGCTTCTTAGACTTAACCCTACATAAGACTGAAACTGTTTGCAAAGATCCACGTTAATGTGATCTAGATGACAGGAATGCTGTAAAAGGAGAAACTTTCCAGTCTGTGTCCTAAGGACTCTGACTGCTCAAAGCTCTTCAAAGGAGGTGGGTACCATGTACCAAACTTCTCACACTCAGTTCCCACAAGCGCCTTTGAAAGACATCAGTCGGAAGTGAAAAAACTCACTTTCAGCAGGAGTTTCAGAGTTATAAAGGATTATCATCATCTCCCTTTCTTGTGGCTCATGCCAAGTTCACCTAAAAGTCAAAGAACCTCCTTCCATTGGCTTGAACAGTAAATAAGAATGTCAGAGAACACAGTTCTCCATTGCACTTTAGCCACAGAAGTATTTGTGTGCCCTACCTGGCAGACTGGTAGAAATTACTTCATGGGGCCTAAAGATGCTTGCACGTCTTATCTTTTTGGACATGCAATCTTCTCACAAAGAGAATCTAGAGAAATTTCAAGGCCAATATAAATCAGAGAAAGACTAAGCTCACTAAATACTACAATGACAGTATCTTACAGTTTACGATTTTAATTACTTCACATGTGCTGTAGCACCACTGCCCCAGAACTTTTCCTTTTTTCCTTCCCTTTTTCACCCCCGAATCCTGGCTTACCTTGTGAATTTTTGGATATCAACACTGGAATTGGGTCAAACTCATCTTCTGTCACTTTTTCAGAGCCCTCAGGAGCATCAAAGCCTGATATCAGGTTAGTATCTTCTGCAGCATAAAGGAGAAACAGGTAAAGAAGCAAAGATAGCAGAGAAGGCTGGTTAGAATTCCTAAAAAGTGTTAGAACATCTTTATGCTTTCAGAGACAGGGTTTAGAAGCAGGAGTTTCGTTTAAGAGGTGAAATAAAATTGGTAAGTCTTTGGTAAAGAAGGTAAGAAGTAAGAGACACAATTAAATACAAAAGTGGAGGTGAAAAAAACAAAACAAAACAAAAAGCAAGCCAAGTCATGAGAACCAAAATAAAATTTGGCCAATCTGAAGGCTTAACAATTGGCATAGTTCAAAGCTGTGGTAAAAGCCTGGGGCTTAAGCTCCCAAGGATTGAAGGTATTCTTTGTCATCATCCAGTGGCTGTCAGATTAGTACAGTTTGAGAGAGCAATATGGCTCCCCAGTTACCAGCTCTCATGCACAGGGAGAAGAAAAGGCTGGGGGAAAAAAAAAAAACAAACTAACAACACAGAAGAAATTCCAGTCATCTACGTGAGACAAAACCCCTGAGCTTTCACCTACAGTGATAAAACAAGAAGCACAATATGAAGTCAGATTTCCAAGCAGTTTAAATGCCTGAAGACGTAACTAGATACTGAGAGAGATTTTTTTTTTTTTTTAAAAGGCCCCTAGAGCAGTTCTGGCACATAATTCCATTGATTTCAAGCCATGTCAACTGCAGTTAGACACTTGGTGGGAGGCACTTTCAACAATCTCCACAGCAGATGAGACATTTATCTGCCTTATCAGGCAATTACATACCTTTAGGGACTTTCACACTCTCGCTGTGCATCACTACTTGTTACTTTAGATACCTAAAATACCTTCCAAAGCCTGGTTCTCAATTACTACCTGAAATATTTCTGAAAGCCTAGCAAGGACATGTACAAGTCGATGGTTTCCAAGGAACAGGAACATTCCTGTTTGACTCCCATCAAGAATAAAAGCTTTTTACCTAAAGCTGACAAATACACTAACAGGTTTTGGGTGAGATGATGCAAGAAACCACTTGTGGAAATACATTGTCCTCCGGAGGATTAGACCCAGAAAAAAACCCACAAGTTTTACAGGAGACTAGCCTGTAAAGTGTCAAAAAACACAAAGACGTTTCATCTTAACGGACAGTCTCATCTTGTCATCACTCTGTCTCTGGAGTTATTTATTTGTGGCTCTTCTCAACCTACCTGGGAGCCTTTGCAAGCATCCTATTCCCATTTCACTTCATTTATACATACAATTGCTCACAGCTCTGGAGTTTGCTGTACAAGAAGCTACTGAAGGAGCACTGTTTGATTATGGACTATCTTGGGTCCTGCATTTCAGCCACAACAACCCCATGCAGCGCTACAGGCTTGGGGAAGAGTGGCTGGAAAGCTGCCTGTTGGAAAAGGACCTGGGGGTGCTGGTCGACAGCCGGCTGAACATGAGCCGGCAGTGTGCCCAGGTGGCCAAGAAGGCCAATGGCGTCCTGGCCTGTATCAGAAATGGTGTGGCCAGCAGGAGCAGGGAAGTGATCGTGCCCCTGTACTCGGCACTGGTGAGGCCGCACCTCGAATACTGTGTTCAGTTTTGGGCCCCTCACTACAAGAAGGACGTCGAGGTGCTGGAGCGTGTCCAGAGAAGGGCAACGAGGCTGGTGAGGGGTCTGGAGAACAAGTCTGATGAGGAGCGGCTGAGGGAACTGGGGTTGTTCAGCCTGGAGAAGAGGAGGCTGAGGGGAGACCTCATCGCTCTCTACAACCACCTGAAAGGAGGTTGTAGCGAGGGGGGGGTCGGTCTCTTCTCCCAAGGAACAAGCGATAGGACGAGAGGAAACGGCCTCAAGTTGCGGCAGGGGAGGTTTAGATTGGACGTGAGGAAAAACTTCTTTACTGAAAGAGTGGTTAAACATTGGAACAGGCTGCCCAGGGAAGTGGGGGAGTCCCCATCCCTGGAGGTATTTAAAAGACAAGTAGATGAGGCACTTAGGGACATGGTTTAGTGGGTGGTGGTGTTGGGTCGACGGGTGGACTCGATGATCTTAGAGGTCTTTTCCAACCTTAATGATTCTATGATCTTTCCTAAGGAGAGGGAAAGGCTGGCAAGCGTCTCTATTTGGGCAAAACTTCAAAAGTGCTTGAGCTCGCCTTAGTGACTATGTAGCACCGTAAGTAGAAAAATACTCCCCTCTCACATACACGCAGCTCAGTGCTGTATTCAGCAAACGCAAATTAAGGAATCCTGAAGGCAAAGCAAAAAATTTGGAGGCCAGAAAACAGCCTAGTAAAGCACAAAGGAAAGGATGATATGGCATGACTGGAGCATCAATCCATGCCCAGACCATGGCTGCTTTTTCAAGTCCTCCCGGTCCCACTGATAACTTGCAGCGTTGCAGTTCCACGGGCTTGATTATACCCATGGACAGCAGCATCTGCCCCACAGGTGCTTTACATCACCAAAGCCAGGACTGGATAAACAAAGCAAACAAAAAAAGATTAAGACAGATGTACAGTTAATGACTACACCCAGAGCTATAAAAGCAGGGTTTGGAAAGAAGCCACAAATGAGTTTTGGAAGATTTTAATATTTTGGCCCCCCCCGCTAATAGAAGTCTCGCTTTCCTCATCAAATGTGAGCCTTTCTCATCCCAGAAGGAACAGCAGGGCAGCCTGGGAGAAGTCATGCAGAAATCTGTTAATTCATTTTCTCATTAAGTCACACCAACAATGATTTGGCTTTGCTATGTTCTGGACATGGAGTAATAACTGCTCGACATACATTTCAAGCCATTTACTCAAAATAAAGTGGCATGGAAGTGTATTATAGCAATGAGCAATTAGAACAACTGCTTGTTTAAACCCAAAAGCTCTGTGAAAAACACAAACTCATTTTGAAGTGCCATCAAGTGTAAAAATTGATTACAGACTGTTTTTACAGCAATTCCTCTGAGGACAGATCATTTTCTGTTGCTATAGGGATACTCACCAAATGAGCTAAGCAAAATCCATCATCAAGGGGCACCCAGTAGTTAGCATTTGTGCTCTGGGCCTTTCTTTTCCAGGCAATAATTAGCACAGGAGTCCTGGTCTTCCCTCCCACCCAGGTGGATGTGTATTACCCAATATTCACTACAAGCTTGGCTTATGTGAGAGTCATCCGCTAACATGTGGCATCGTCCCCAAGGGACACATGCGCTGTTCACAACTGCTTTAGCCCGTAATAGGGACGTGCCACAACAGAGCAGGAAAAGCTCACCGTGCAAGTCGCACTCCAGCTGATAGCTCTTCAAACTATTCCAGTGCCACTGCTCCAGTCACACTGCATGGAGAGGGCCCAGATTTCAGATGGATGCTCTGCCGCTTGGCAAAAAAAAGCCATCTGAGTTAGGACCCAGCTTCCCAGGGTCCTCTACTCTTGCTTGTTAGTGGAAAGAGAACAGAACTCTGATCACGGCACAGTATTTCCACAATTCCACTCAAGCTCAAATACTGATGTACTGCAAGGGCTGATCTGCAGCTCTTAGGAATTACCGCACATGGTCTACTTCTCTTCTGCAGCTCCGCTTTTTTGTGTTACTGTGAAACTCTTCCATTTTTCAGTTGGATATTGCGCTCAGACTTTCATTCATATTTGCTGTGACACTGCAGTTTGACTCAAGAACCTACTCCTGATAACCTCTGAAAAGGAAAAATTCTCCAGATCTGAAAGAGCTCAGTTACGTGCTATGGATGCTAACCCTGATAAACCAAAAAAAATTCCTTTTGTTTCAAAAACCTGACACACCAGTCTAGATGAATATCAGGCTCCCTTCCAGAATTAATCACGCAGCATAAAAGCAGGTCTTAAATCCCATGTGCAAAAAGCAAAACCAGATTTGCATTCACTTGCAAACCTGAAGGGTTGCATACAAAAGCCTACCCTTTAAGCCTACTGTATCCCTTCTGCTGTATCCCTGTTTCATGGAAGATGCCACCTGTCTTGACAAACCTTGTCTTTACAGTCAAGCTGAATACTTTTATCTATATTCTTCCCTTAGTACTTCAATGTGCATTCCAAGTTTCTCACCAGCTTGGGAAGAAAACAAAACAATGGCTCGGGGGGGGGGGGGGGGGGGGGGGGGGGGGGGGGGGGGGGGGGGGGGGGGGGGGGGGGGGGGGGGGGGGGGGGGGGGGGGGGGGGGGGGGGGGGGGGGGGGGGGGGGGGGGGGGGGGGGGGGGGGGGGGGGGGGGGGGGGGGGGGGGGGGGGGGGGGGGGGGGGGGGGGGGGGAACAAACACACCACTAGAACACAGGTGAGAGCATTTCTTGTGTAAACCAGTATCAGCTTCACTTCACAGTAGCTAAAGACCGAGTCCCAGGACTGATTAGGTGTTAGAGACAAAGGGACAGTTTACCTTTGTGAGGTTGAGCTGCGAAAGCTACGGGAGCAAACTCATCCAAGAGGTCAGCAGCGGGGTTAGAAAGCAGAGAACAGTCAAGCAGAGAGTCTTCCCCAGTGAGAGAGTCTGAATCCAGGTTAACATCCAAAGGCCGCAAGGTAGCATTAAACAGGACACAAACACTGTTAAGCTCATATTCTCACATTCCCGTTCCCGTCCGCTTAGCGTACAAACAGAGCTTTGATGCGAAGCCAGCACAAAAGCTACCATTTTTTGTGATGGAAAACATTTCTTACTGCTCTGCAACATATAACACATCCTCTGGGGCTAACTGCCCTCTAAAGCAGAGTATACAACAACGAAATCCCACACAAGTGACAGGTTAAAGCAGGGGGAGTGAAGGGGAGCGTGGGGAGGGAAAGAGAGTTGCAGGGACTCTCTGGCAAAACTAAGTACACTGGCTATTTCACAAGACACCTCTGAAAAGATGTCGAGTCATCTACTGCGAAAGTGGCCAGATCAAGGCCTTCATAGTAAGAAAGGGACATGAATTGCTTACTACCACACCCCGATGGAACAGACAAAAATCAGTGACTGCTCCAGATTTCAAAGACACTCCATCAGAGCAATACTCTGGCACCTACAGATCTGTAACGGTGGGCTTAAGGAATACTGTATTGTTCTTCACAAGGAGACAAGTAACACTGACCTTCAAGGAACCATGCAGCATCCACTTACAAGACACACAAGCAAGCCTAACTTACACTGGTGGGAAAAGCGTCGAGAGAAGAGATGCTTACGTTCAAGCGGACAGCGCTTTCCGATTTACACGGCCCACACCGGTACGATGCATCCCTGCCCCCTCCCCAGCACTCTCCTGCCTCACCAACCTGTTCTGTTGGAGGCAACCGACTCAGTCTGTGACACAAGGCGTTGGGGCAATGGAGCCTCGAGGCCCGGTATGAGACTCTCAACAGCTACGTCAGGTTTTCCTTTCCAAATGTGCGAAATAGCAGAGCAGAGAAGAAGGCAGAAGTTAGTTTGCAAGACACAGCATAAGTAGGAACCAAGGCGGCAGTTGTCTGAATCCTTTAGTGACCCTTTAATACATCAGCTATGCCGGCCACAAGAAGAGGCTGAAGTTAGATCGGTGTTAATTTAGTCACAAGAGAAGAGTGTAACACATTAGTGTTTGTTGGGTTTGAGTTTTTCTGTGTTTTATTTATTTATTTTAATTTGTGCGAGCCCAATTTGAAATATCCAGGGGGTGGAATGGGAGGTTAATAATGCCTGCCCTGCAGCCAAGCAGAAGGCCTGGGGCTGGGCAAATAACTACAATCTTTTGCAAGATCCTTTTCCAGCAAAAGGCGAACACTGACCTTTAAGGAGTCCCCTTGCATCAGAAGTAACAGATCATTACAACACCTACTGTGGAGCCCTTCGCATATTCCCAGTTAAGCTTGTAAAAAGCCAGGACATGGGATCTTTTTTTTCCCATTTTGAGTGCCCAGTGGAGCAAAGAGGTGATCAAGTTTTGGAATTCAACATCTTATTGAAAACACCAGTCCCCAGTATCGTCTACTGTTGATGTCCATTATGGGGATACAAAAGGAGATGTTTACAAAGGCTGGATAGAAAGATTTGTTTTTATAGAAACCATAAAGGGGAGGGGGAGAGACGTGGAAGATAACTGTCACGGTCATACCAGCCAGGTATAATGCTTGTCTGGGTCTCTTCTTCAAGGACCAACATCAAGGTAATGACCAAGAAGTTAAATTAAAGAACAAGGATCCACTCAAATGCTAGGACCAGAAATGGTCTCGTTGGTCAACCTAAGAGATATTAATGAATATTTTTGTTTGCATAGCAGTGTGTGTCTCAGATTTGCAGGATCATTATCTAAGAGTATTCAGACAACTGCCAGAAATTGCAAAAGGGAGAGAAAAAGTCTTGCTATTAAGGTGACTCATTTCCTACCCTTCTATTCAAAGCTACAAGGTTGCAACCAGCTACCCGGAGACCCTGCCTGGGACCCAAAAATCACAAAAGCAGCCGATTGCAACTAGCGGCAGCCTGCAATTATTAGTCTTTAGCACATTTGGCAAGTAGATCAACGTATGATTCTGCAACAATCCAAAATCTTGATACTGCCTGGAGCCTGTTGCATCTGGGCTCATCACAGCCTAGCACGTTTATTCTCAGCCTATGCCCCAGGTCAAAGGCAATGCTGTCGTCCTCATCCTGCTGAGGGTCGACAGACAGGCAGGCTCAGTGCCTGGGCCATGGTTACACACAAACTCTTTAGCAGAAATGGAGGGATTTTTTTGCACCTTCTCCTTCAGTCAACAGTTAACTTTCTTCTACCACGACCAGAAGAACACACAAGCCACAATCATGCCATGTTATTGTGCCAAATCGGTAAGCCTAGATTTTAAATGCAAATACCAAGTCTTCGCTGTTCAGATGCTAGTCTCATGGGGAAAAGGCAGATCTGTCTCAGCATAATCCATAACTTCCTATCACATTGTGTTTCACCAACGTCAGCGGCTGTTTTGAGAGCCCAGTGGGGGTAAACACGCAGAGTTATCATGCGGGACAAGACATGCCATGTAAGACAGAGGGGAGGAGGCGCCCTAAGTTTATTTTTACCATTCACAGCATCTGACGTGCTACCGAAGGGGTCAGCGAGAGGCAGGATATCAGGGAGCAGAAGCGCAGTCTCAGGAGATTTGAGTCCCTCAATCAGTTTTTCTGGGTTAAGCGGGAAAAGGAGGAAGGAAGGCAACAGAGAAAAAAAGAAAAAAAACAAACCACAAGAAAAGACAACATTAATCAGGTGTTCAATTCAGTGCCTCATAGTCCAGTGTGTCAGCCTCAGAAGAGCATCTGCACAATTTTGTGTGCAAATAACTATCACTTAGAGATATTAGAGGGCAGCTATTCACCAGCTGGCCATGGTCATCTAAGACAACTGAGGACATCCTCACCCACTGTGCGCTGCTCTCCCTAAGGAGACACTGTAAAATAGCATGCAGTTCTTTTACTCCTACCCAAAGCACAAAAGCTTAACGTGACCCACTGAAAATTTAAAAACAAAACAAAAAAAAAAAAAGAAGAGAAAACCTGCAGTTTTTCCCCTCCCGCTTTCCTATGTTGGAGAGTCTTTGTATAATGAGAAGAAATGGAAGTTATGATCAGAAGCCCAAGATGCTAGAGCTAGGTATGCAACACCTATTAATTTGCTCAAGAATGGAATATTTACAGCCCTTAAGAGCTTAAGCAAAACCAGAAAGTTTCTGACATCAGAACTTGCCCTTGGGTTAAACAGCTGTCTAGTTACCAATTAATTATTTCAACTATCAGGTTTCAAATCAGACATGTCATTCTCAGCAGTACAACTCCTGTGGTTCCCATTATCCTTCACACAAAGAAACTTAGATAGCCTGGGCAAAAAGTTAATCTCAGTTATTAATCTGGTGGATGAGCAATTTCGCAATCATACTAACCAGGTTTTCAATCATGAGCTTAATTATTTAGCTTTCACCAGGGTTTCTTCACAGAACAAGAAGATAAAGAACATTTTCAGGGTTTGCTAGAAGTAATCACCTTCAGTAGAACAGGACTGATAAAATTTACTCCACATGGACAAATCAACAACTTGAAATGACTACGTTTATAATCTAACATTAGAATGAGCTGTGACTCTGCCACAGTTATACCTTTACAAAATGTTTACATTTATGTTTTATGTTTTGAGTTCAAAGGCTGGTGTTATTATTTATTATCCAAAGAAAATGTGCTCATAACTGCACAAAAGCACAGGCTCTGTCATACTGCTGTATAAAAGACTTACCACGCTGAGAAAGCCAAAGAAAAGCTTAAGTTGCACTGTTACATACATGGTAATAATATCGATCTTTTTTATTGCCCTATATAAATAATAAAATAGCCTAGCAGCTTTGGAACTACTTATTCAAAGCAGGACAAATTCTACTCCCCATGAAAAACTTCACAAGCCAACACACTAAAGCAACCAGGAGGGGAAGGAAACCTAAAAAGCGACCCAAGAGGCAGCTGTTATACCATTAAAGGCCTGAAGAAGGTCAACTGAAAGGAAAAACCTGATGGGAACAGCAGCCTTGAATGTACTTGAAGCCTTCCCACCTCTATGAGGAATACTCAATTTGCAAGGTCAGATTTGCCAGAGAAAAATGGACCCCAACTGCAGAGGTATCATCCGTGGCTTCTCCGCAGCACAAAGCGGGGCTTTTTCCTCGGATGAATGGAGAGGCTGGGAGCAGGGGCTCGGCAACAAAAAGAGGTGTTGAAGCTATCAAAAGGGGGCTAAGAAGGATGGAACTGATTATAGTGTGTTGGGAAAACATAACACAACACAGGAGAGAGACTTGGGGACAAGACGACAGGAAACATGCTCAATTCCTTTTCCCAGAAGGGAAGCGGTAAGATAACAGGTATCCACCCAGAGTACAGCTGACTTAAACAGCGTTTTAAACCAGTTAATCCAGATAGCAAGGCACAGGACACAACTGTGGGAGAAATTATGGATTGTCTCAGAATTGGGCAGTTTCAGGTTGGGTTTGGCTTCTACTTTGAGATGAAGTTTGTAAGCTATGAAGTGATATACTGTGAATGTATTCCCATTTTAGAGATTCAGGCCTGAGATACTCCTTTTAAAGCAGACTCTTACAGAAGGCCTGTCTGCTCTTCTCAAGGCACTTGCATCAACCTGTATCTTCAAACCCATGTATACAGTAATCGTTCCTTTTATGATCCCATTTCCAAGTGTCTTGCTCCTTGAAGTCTCCCTCCTTCAACCTTACCCTTTCGGTTTCCTCCTTTTTCATTACTGCAGATTTTCCATTTAACACAGTGGAACTACCTCTTGGTCAGGTACTAGAAAGTTGCCTATTGTGCTCAGCCACACTTTTTAAACACACAGAAATTATGAGAATAAACATGGTGTTCTTCTCCCTACATGTTAGTTTTCCCTCCTGTCCCCTGGGCTCAACTGGTTTTATGCAAAGCTTTAGACTGTCAGTGGTTCTTTGTCTTATTTTGTTACTTGTCTCACGAGATCTCCTTTCTTGTTTCCTTCATTGTTGGTGCTGATGTGCCAACACTGTTACAGGTAGCCACTGCATCTCTTAGGGCATGATTAAAAGGAACTTCATCCCTTTTGAGTGAGGCTGAGAAGTTCAACAAAAACAAGAAGGTCAGGATGAATGGGAAAGGAGATACCAAAAGTAACAAAGAGTCAGATGCCTCAGTCTATTTTGAGGCCAAGCAGTTCATTTCCCTGGTTTCTGTTTTGTGTTGCATCTTGTACTAACCTGTAGGAATAAGAGATAAAGTAAAGGAACAGCAGTTGCTTTAAGTGGTGGGAAATTCACATTCAACTAGGAGCAAAGGAAAAGTTAGTGAAGGCCCAGAGAAATCCACGGTTCTGCATTAGTTGGCAGGAATACCTTCTCTACGAGAGTTAGGTTTGGTCTTTTTAACACAACATGCTTATTAAAAACACACACGTGTGCTAAAGGAAGTTTCTCTGAATCCACATCAGACATTCAAGTCCAAGACTACATGCCTTTGCAGTGGCAAATAAACCCAGCTCTTAAGCCTCTGCTTCACCACAGCTCCAATGATCAAAGCAGTAACTCAAGGAGCGTATCTTCTGCACACTAGACTGTTTCCCTGCGCACGAACATTAGGCAGCTGCAGTTTAACTATCTGCAGACCTAGAAAGAAAAAACAGTCTCTCTCATAATACTGAACTGCATTTTGGGTCCTGCTACCAAGGGAATTCTCTAGCAGAAGTTTAATTTTAATTTCCAAGAGAAAAGCTGATTCACCTGCAAGTGAAGTCATGGTTGAGATGGTGAGAAGCCAGCAATGCTAAGTAATTTGAATGAGTAAGAAATACAACAGTGGAACAAGAGGAAAAACTAGGATAAACTAGTCTCGTTTCTCTTACCTGTACAAACACAACAGTTCCAAGTCACACATATATGAAGTGATCATCAACTGCAGAACAGACTCCACCAATAAAGCAAATGGCACGCAGCATGTATCTGCCATTTGCAGAAAGAGATGAAGGCTACAGCCCCGGGTACGGACTTCTCTAGAACACCCTCTCCCATCTGCCACCCCCTTAGCAAAGATATTCTACTGGAGAAAAAACAAGAGAGATGCTTTGCCACTACAGTACCAGCTTCTTGTGACTCCCCAGGCATGTGGGCACACAATCACAAGCTGGGAAACATGTGCCTTAATCGATAACTGTGCTCCCACATGAGGCTGCCTCTTGGAGGCATTCTCCTCCCCAGACAGCCTACCGAAAAATCTGCCAGATGCTTTCCAGGTCACAGGGAAAGTAAGCTTGATTCAGGTTCAGGATTGATCTGACCATTGGTATTCCATTCTCTGTTGGGTTTTCTACTTTGCCCATTTTCAGTCCTGACAGGATGGCAGCAAGTTTGCCATAGGGCTTTGCATCAGCTAGTGAGGATGCTGGCTGAGTAAGCAAGATTCATTAGCAAGTCTTAAGAAGGTGTCTAAGCTTAAAAGCATGCAGGGAGGATTGAAAAAGTACCCTATCAACCTGTTCCAGAGCTAAAGCCCAGTCACATACTGCAGCCTTTAGACAAATGTTTCACTTTCTTCCTAAGTTCCCAGTTCCTCACAGTAAGAAATTACCGATTGTTTCCTATCATAGTCGGAGTAAGCAAAACACATTGCAGAAAAAGCAAATCAAGAGCCTACAGCTAACAGCTCCCAGAGGCATCCCCAAATGGCAGATGTTGGTAGCTTCAGAGACTGGAAAACCAAATCACTTCCTCCAGGAATGAAGGCAAGAACCTTTCCTCTGATTTGCACCAAGATAAGAAGGAAGTAATGCCATTTAGCATCAGCAGAATTAACTATGGATTTATATCATGGGACAAGAAAGCAAGATCAGTCACGCGTAGGTTGAGAAGCACAGCTTTGGACAATCCAGTGAGAAAATTTTGACCTTTTTCTTCAGATCCCTTCTTTTCCAACACATGCAGAAATCTGATTTTTGAGATTTACAATTAGTCAATTTGCACAGACTTTGCATCTGCAACACCACCGCTGCCAAAGACTACAAGTTGGCATGCTGCATTTATACTTGGCGATTTACCCGTTAAGTGACAAAGTATATGCAGAAAGCATTTTAAGAAGGACTAGAATTATGAAAAAAATATAAATCGAGAGACAAGGGAGGCAAACGGGTTTGTAGTTAGAGCAGGCTATGAGAAAGAATAAAAAGATTCCTGAGAAACTTGCAAGTTAAAAAGGCAACAGAGGGCAAAGATCTGTCATACGTTGGTAACACACTGAACAATCAAGATGCAACATCTCAAAGCCAAAGAAGTCCACCAGCCAGGCACCGCACACAGTAAGAACGTTACTCACTCGTGTACTGCGGAGGAATAGCAAAAAGAAAGACAATTCAATAGAGCACACAGCAGAGTTCTTTTCTTCGGATGTCAACTGAGAAAGAAAGACAAGGTTGTAAAAATCCTGCCAAGTCAACTGTGCTGCGAGTGGGAGGGCGAACTACCAAGGTAGGTATAGATTAGTCACTCAGGAAGATTTCTGCCTATTGATTAATCAAGTATTAAAGATTAAAGGAAGCCCTGCACATTATTCAGCAACAGAGGACTTTGACTAATCAAGGGAAGGCACTGGACTTTAATCTTCCTAATGGA